CCTGAAACTAAAAATAATGTTGAATGTAAACTGTAATTTAAAATAAAATAAATAAAATAAAAAGAAATTAGATTTGAAGAATACTATTAACTAACTTAATCTAATTGACATTTATAGAACACTGTACCCAGCACTAGCTGAATAAGCACTTTCCAGATACATATGGAAGATTTATCAAGATAGAACATATTCTGAACCATAAAACTATTTTAAATAAATTTAAAACGATTTAGAGAACACAATGTGTATTTTCTGATAATACTAAAATTAAATTAGGAATCAATAACAGAAAGACTTCTGCAAAACCTCCAAATACTGGAACAAAGTAACTCATTGATAAATAACTCATAGATCAAAGAATTCAAGAGGAAAGTAGAAAGCATTTTTAATTGACTAAAAATGAAAGCACAACATATGAAAATTTGGGTGATGCCATTAAAGCAGCACTTAGAAGAAATTTTATAGCACTAAGTGTCTATATTAGAAATAAGAAAGATCTTGCCCTGGCCAGGTGGCTCAGTTGTCTGGAGTGTCATCTCATACACCAAAGAATTGTGGGTTTTTTTGATCTCCAGTTGGGGCACATGAGGGAAGCTACTGATTGACGTTTCTCTCTTACATTGATAATTGTCTTTCTCTCCCCTTCTTCCTCTTCCTCTCTCTGCAATCAATAAGCATATCCTCAGGTGAGGATTTAAAAAAAAAAAAGGTCTTCAATCAATGACCTTAGCTTCTACCTTAATTAAGAAAGTATAAAGGGAAGAGCAAATTTAACTCAAAGTAAGTTGAAGAAAATAATAAAGATCAGAGCAGAAATCAATGGAGACATAAGATGGAAAAAGAATAGATAAAAATCAATGAAACCAAAAACTTGTTTAATCAAAACCTTATAAATGTCTAGTCAGGCTGATCAGAAAAAAGAAAACACAAATGAACATCTGGAATGAAGAGTAATTTCACTACACATTCTATAGATATTAAAAAGATAACAAGAGAATAATATGAACAGCTTAATGGCAATGAACTTGGCAACTTAGATAAAATGGACACATTTTTTTAAAATTTTTTTTTTTTTTTTTTTTTTTAGAGAGAGGGGAAGAGAGGGAGAAAGAAAGGGAGAGAGACATTAATGTGTGAGATAGATCTATCGGTTGCCTTTTGCATGTCCCCAACAGGGGACCTGGCCCACAACACAGGCATGTGCCCTGACTGGGCATCAAACCAGCAACCTTTCAGTTTGCAGGCTGGCTCTCAATCCACTGAGCCACACCAGCCAGCGCAAAAAGGGCAAATTTTTTGAATGACACAAACTACTAAAGCTTACCAAGAAGAAACAGGTAACCTCAATAATACCGTGTTTGTTTTTTTTAAATTGATTTTGTAGTTAAAAACTTCCCATTAAAAATTCCAGGTAAAGAGGGCTTCAGTGCTGAATCCTATCAAACGTTTAGGGGAGAACTAAATACCAATTATACACAAACTCTTAAGAAAAATTGAAAAGGAAGAAATGCTTCTCTCTATGAAGTAAGCATTACTGTGATATCAAAACCTAATGAAGACATTACAAGAAAAGAAAACTACAGAAAAATATCCCCCAGGAACATAGATGTAAAAATTTTAAACAAAATTTAACAAATCTAACCCAAAAATACATTTTAAAAAAGAATTATATATCACAAACAAGTAGAGTTTTTTCCAGAAATATAACTGGTTTAACACATGAAAATCTATCAAAGTAATTTACCATATTAATAATCTAAAAAAAATAAAGAGCACATAATCATCTCAATACATGTAGAAAAATATTGACAATATGCAATTTTTATTGCAATACTTCCTTAACCTGATATAGGACATCTATGAAAAACCTACAGCTAATGCCCTACTTAATGGAGAAAGACTGAGTGTTTTCCATCTAAAATCAGGAACAAGACAATAATGTTCCTTCTCACTACTTCTACTCAACATTATACTAGAGGTGCTGGCAATTGCAATAGGGCAAGAACAGGGAGAAGTAAAACTCTTTATTTGCAGACACCATGATTGACTGGGCAGAAAATCTGAAGGAATCTACAAAATATTACTTGACATAATACATGAGTTTAGCAGTGTTGCAGAAAAGATTGATATACAAAAATACATATTTCTGTGTATTATAAACAAACAATTGGAACTAAAATTTAACAAATAATGCCATTTAGAATAACAAAAATACTTAGAGATCTATCTGAAAAGGATGTGAAAGACTTATATATTGAAAACTACAAAATATTGTTGAAAGAAGACAAATTAAAAAAGACAAATGAAGAGAAATACAATTGTCATGGGTTAGAAGACTCAATATTGGTAAGAGGTCAATTCTCCCCAAAATGATTTATAGATTCGATGTAATCCTGATTAAAATTTCAGCAGATTTTTTTCTTCTGAAGATTTTATTTTTAGAGAAAGGGAAAGGAGGGAGAAAGAGAGGGAGAGAAACATCGATATGTGAGAGATACATCAATCAGTTGCCTCTCTCATGCCCCCAGCTGAGGACCTGGCCCACAACCCAGGCATGTGTCCTGACTGAAAATTGAACCTTCGACCTTTCAGTTCACAGGCCAGCACTCAATTCATGGAGCCACACCAGCCAGGGCTTGGAAGATTTTTTTTTTAAACAGAAATGTTAAGCTGATTCTAAAGTTCATATGGAAATGCAGTGAACCTAGAATAGTCAAAACAATTTTGGAAAAAAACAAAGATGGAGAAATATTATTTAAAGACTTATTACAAAGTTAACATAGTCAAGACAGGGTCACATTGGCATAAACATAGACAAATAGTTCAATGGAATAAAACAGAGTCCAGAAATAGGTATGTATGAGTATATAAAGTCAATTCAGTAGAGAAAAGATAATCTTTTCAAGAATTAATGTTGGAACAATTAGATATCCAAGGGCAGAAAAGTAAACTTTGATCTACATCTGTCACCACATATAAAAAATAACAAAAGGGATTATATATCTAAGTTTAAAACTTAAAACTATGACTTCTGAGGAAAACATTGGAAAAAACCTTCATGACCTTGAGTTAGGCAAAGATTTCCTAAATATATGACCAAAAGTGTGACCCATAAGAGAATAAATTAATAAATCAGACTTCATTGAAATAAAAACTTGCTGCTCTTCAAAAGATACTGTAAAGTGAATGAAGAGACAAGGCACAAAGTGGAAAAATATTTACAAATCATATAGATGATAAAGGACTTGTATTCAGAAAATGTAAAGAACATCACAAGCTCAACAATAAAAAAATTTTTTTTCAATGGGCAAAAGATTTGAATATTTTACCAAAAAAGATATAAGGATGCTAAATAAGCACATGAAAAGATGCTCAACATCATTTATCATTAGTGAAATATAAGTTAAAGCTGCAATGAAATACCACTATATACCTATTAGAATGGCTAAAATCCAAAACTTGTGCATACTAAGTGCTAACATGGATGTGGAGGAACTGGAATTCTCATATACAGCCACTGGACTATAAAACAGTATAGCCACTCTAAAAAAAAAATTCCAGTTTCTTAAAAAAGTTAAAGTGATATTTACCTGACATAAGTGAAATTATAAATACATACAAAGTCTTGTGCACAAATGTTTATAGTGTTCTTATTCATAATTGCCCCAAACTGCAAATCAATAGACGACTTTCTATGGGCAAATAGATTTATAAAACTGGTACATTCATGCCATGGCATCCTACTCAGCAATAAAGAATAAACTATTAATACATATAATAACACAGATGAACCTTATAGGCATTAGGCTAAGTGAAAGAAACCAGACAAAAAAAGAGTAATACTGTATGAGTCCACTTATGCAAAACTCTAGAAAATGCAAATTAATATATGGTAAGAGAAAATCAGTACCTTGTGATGGGAGTGGCAGGGTACAGACAGTGGGGAAGCAGGGATTATGAGGAAACTTTTGGAGGTAATGCATATCATATGTTCATGAATTCAGTCGCAGAGATGGTTTCACTGGGATATGTTAATGTCAAATTGTACATGTTAAGCATCATGTGTTATTATATGTCAATTATGCCTCAAGAAAGCTATTAAATAAACAAACAAACAATGTAATGTCTAATGTTTGAAGTAGAGGTTTGCTCAATTTTTCTTCTATCCTGGCTTAAGCTGCTCCTGACAGTTTCTGAATCTAATAAATACAGTGACGTTTGTTGATCCACGATAATGTGTAATCTTGTACTGTCTTATATGGTTGGCTAATTGATTCATAAACAGTGGTTTATTTTCTCCCACTAACCTGCAAAATCCTCAAGGTCAGGCCTCATATCTTTTATTTTTTGCATCCTCCTATAGTGTCCAGACACAGAAAAGTTTAACAAATACCTTTTGATTAACTGTCTTTTGTGTTATTTGACACATTTATTTAGTATATTATTTGACAAATTTAGAAAGGACAGAACTCAAGATAGAAAAGGAAAAATGATTTTTCTCTATTTTTATTTTTACTTATATGGAATATAGCATAGAGGACATAGGGAGAAAAACCATAGCACAAAGCCACCCCAAGGCATCAACAGTATCTTTTGTGCTTCGACAATCTGAGATATACAGATTTGCCTGTCCCAGTGTTAAGTTAGAGAACTGTGGGTTGAAGGTGAATGAAGACATACCAAGAAGAACGAATTGCCAGACTGCAATTCAGCTTCATATCATTTTCTTGCCCTCTTCATTTTGCCTGATAAGGTGGTATTGACCAGAAAAAGGAGCAACTCAAGGAGTGCTTGATAAATAACAATGAACTTCAACTAAATATCCTCAATGAGCAAGATGTTCCAGTTAGGACCCTAATCACATTTTTCTTCACTTTCTCTGGAAAGTGTGGCAGTAGGGTCTCTAGCTGCTGAACAGACCAGCAAGAGCGAAGAGATGGAAACAGAACTACCATGAGAACCTGGGAGGCTTGCCTCTCAGGAGAGAAAAAGGGCCAACATTATTCATTATAGTGGCGGGCAAAGTGGGTTATCTTTGATTTCCGCCGTAGGAAATCTCTGTTGCCTACAGACATACGTGTGTTGTAGGAAATGATATTGCCCTGGCTTTTACTTTTGTAGATTATCTGGGCATAAGTCATGACAAAGAACATCCAGAAACAATGCATAAATATACGGGACACCAAGCCAAACCAGCGGATGACTCTGACCTCTCCAATGCTCGTGCCACTGTTGGTGAGGATTTGCACTACAATGTTCATAGCTTCATAGAAAAGGATCCAGATGATGTAGATCACCAAGCCCCTGTACTTCTGGGCATATACTGAGTATAGCAGCAAGCAGCTGATGATGCTGGTGATGCAAGACAGGAAGAGGACAATATTCCAACTCCAACAGATGATGAACTGACTTATCAGATTATTCACACTCTTGGCCCTTTGGTTAATCTCAGTGCAATCGCTGCTCTTCATGTGCTTCTGCTCAAAGATGAGGTACATGCACGTGGCTATGATGGTAAACACCCCTGATAACACAGTGCCTGTTTTGGCAGTCATCCCACACCAGCGTTTCTGTTTCATGCCAAGACATCCTGTGAAGACAAACAATATAAAGGAGAATTCTGGTTCCTGCTAATGTGGTAAATTACCAGAGTTTCTGCCTCCTTTCCCAAAGGAGAAACAACAGAGAGAAATATGGAAACTAGGACATAACTTTGGGAAGACAGAGACTGTTCAAAATTGATTGGCAGTGTGAGTGAGGATGGGGGAGGAGTGGGGATGCAGTCCAGTGGCAGGGAGCAGATAAATTAGAGAAGTGCCTCTCAAGCTTGGCTTCACATAAGAATCACTGAAAGTACCCAGGCCCAAGCCCTACCCCAAGCCAATTAGAATAGTCGCTGGTGGGACCCAAAACATCAGCATTTTTCAAAACTTCCTAATGATTTTTCATATGTAGCCAGAATTGGAAAACACAGAGCCAAAAAAAAAAGTAGTTTAAATTAAATTCCTGTCTCTCCTAACATTGCCTTGGGCAACCATTGCTGCCCCCTGATGGGGAAAATTGGCTACACTTGTCCAAATCTTGAGTGCAGGTGTCCTGAGGAGAAAAATCAGGGCAGCAGCATAGTCCCGCTCTGGTGAGAAGTTGATGAAAACTGGTGGCTCTGAGCAATCATCTCACCACTATGTATCAAAACTTAAGGAATACAATGAAAGGTGTACTTTAAGGGAAATTTAGAGCCTTAGGGCAGAATAACCTTATAATAGAAAAGAAAAAGTAATAAGGAGCTTAGTGTCCAACTCAAGAAGTTAGGGGGAAAAAATTAATAAGAAGAACAACAAAAAGTAGGGGGAAGAAAATAAATAGAACAGAAATCAATGAAAAGCAAATGTAAAAGTAGAGGGATTTCTGATTGGTTAGATTATTGGAGCCAACTTGCTGCTAAAAACAACAAAAAAATGTTGAATAAAATAGATTTAAAATATTCTTGGAAGTACAGAAGTGCTGAGAGGGTAGAAGGTAAGAGGTCAGAAACCAAAGTCCATAGGAGTTTAAGAACTGGGACAGGTAAGCAAGTAAGGAAGTCAATTTTGTTCTGAGAATATTTTCAGTCTGGCCAAATTTGAATTTCAATTGTGAGAGAGCTCTGTAAAGTAAGAAGAAATGAAGTCAAAGCTCAGGGTCCACCAAGAAGGGGATTGTATTCAAAAGTGCTCCCTTTTTAGTCGTGGCTCCCCAAAGGGCTATGACTAAAGGTGAATCAGAAGTAAACCTGCCCCACAGTTTTCTCCCTGAGACTCCAGGAAAGTTAATTTAGGAGTACACTGAATGTATGGGCGTGGGGGTACTCTCCTCAAGACTTTGTAACCATAGCTAGGCTTTTTGTAGATTTGTTGCCCAAATTACATGAAATCCTGAACTGAAAGTACCTCTAAGTGCCTAGTCGAAGCAAACTCAAAGCCTTTCTGTAAGAATGCACATTTATGTTGGTCCTCAAAGAATCTACGTCAGTAATTTTTCAGAGACAATGACTAGTGTACAGTAAAAAATAATCAAGCACACAAGAACAAGGCATTATGAGAACCAGCAGATGTAAAAACAGAGCTGCAATAATACCAGATTATGAGACAACTATGATTATTACTTTCTGCATTACTTGAAATTTTTATTCTAGTAATCTTTTATTTATTTGTATTTATTTTTAGAGAGAGGGGAAGGGAGGAAGAGAGGGAGAGAAACATCAGTGTGTGGTTACTTCTCACACACCCCTCACTGGGGACCTGGCCCACAATCCACGCAGGTGCCCTGACTGGGAATTGAACTGGCAATCTTTCGCTTTGCAGCCTGGTGCTCTATCTACTGAGCCACACCAACCAGGGCTTATTTTGTTTTTAATTGTGGTAAAATACATATAACATTAAATTTACCATATTAACCATTTTTAAGTTTACAGCTTAACAATGTTACTTATATTTATACTGTTGTACAGCCAATCTCCAGAACTTTTTCTTCTTGCAAAACTGAAATTCTATATCCATTGATCAATTCCCTATTTTTCATTCCCACTGCCTCTGGCAATCACCATTCTATTTTCTGATTCTATGAATTTTATTACTCTGGATATGATAAATGATATGCTATATCCAGAGTATAATACAGTATTTCCATTTGTCTTTTTGTGACTGCTTATATCACTTAACATAAAGTCCTCAGGTTCATTTATATTGTAACATGTGTCGGAATTTCCTTTCATACTACATTTATACAAATAAAAAACAATATTGAAAATATATGTAGGAACAGGAAACTATAGAAAATAACCTAGCATATTTGAAAGAGAACCAAATAGAATTTCTAGAGATGGAAAACTCAATAACTGAAATTAAAAATTTAGTAGGCATAGAGGGCAGGGTAAAGGTAGGTTTAGAGTTGTTCACATGGAAAATAATACAATATTTAATAAATAATTATTTATTATTAAATAATAATACAAGAATAAACTGTTTCATGTACTCACAACTGTAAACCTACTTTTGCCACACCATGTATTTGGTAGATTGGATACAGACAAAGTGATAATTACTTGATCAAAGGATAGGTCAGGAGAAATCATCAGAATTTGGCACAGAGAAACAAAAAGATGGAAAATATCAATGAGACATTAAGAGACATAAAGAGTATAGTATGTTCTGACAAGAGAGAGAAAGTGATGGAGAGAGAGAGAGGAGGTTGGAAGGAAAGAGAATAGGGTAGCATATTTGAAGAGAAAAAGGCTGAGGATTTGCGCAACTGGAGAAAAACACCAACCCACAGATACAAGAACCCTAACTGATTGCTAGGATAAAGAAAAGGAAATTTATACGTAGACATATGATACTCATTCTGTTGAAACAGGTAGCAGACTTCCTGTTCCTTAAAATTCTCATAACATTTTTGGGTTCCCATTGGTCTATCTATGGCAAAGACTGTTAATTGTCTCCCAACATCCATTTCTATCCTCTGACTTTTTGTTGTAGCTAGACACGTAGCCACTGGGCTAATGACTACATTTCCCAGATCTCCTTTGCAGCTTTATGTGGCCATGTGACCAATGAGATATGTCATGTGTGCCACTTTACAGTCTTATACCTGAAAGATTAGGAGTGCTCTCATCTTCTTTTTTTCCCCCTTCCTGATTCTTGGCCATGACCAGAACTGATCTTTGACCCAGACTCAGAAGCCCTTGTTGCATATAGTAAATACCCTATTAGCCATGGATCACTGTTACTTGATAGAGAAATAATTCCTACTATATATAAGTCACTTATTTTGGAATTCCTTTATTACAATGACTTAGCCTGTACCATAATATATCTTCACTTCACTTCATTGAATTTAAACCCAATGAGGACTAGTGATCTATTGGGATCTAGCACCTCCCTTGACTTTACCCTTTTAAAAGCAGGTTCTCCCTGTCTATATGTTTATTTCACTGGATCTATGGTTCTCCTCACCATCTCCTTAAAAAGAGATGTCCCCCTTTAATATACGGGTCACTATTGTCTTCATAGTTAAACTGGTAATAAATTATATATTGTCTTGTGACATCTTTATATTGTTTTAAATTGTTATTAAATATTTTATACTTATAATAATTATCCTAATGGTCACCAATGGGGCACTAGAGCTAGAGAAGTTAATTAATTTTGCCTAAGACTGTAAATCTGGTCAGTGGCAAAGTCAGGATTTTAACCTACATCTGTCTGACTCTAAAACCAATCTTAACACTCACCTACTTGTGCCTTGTCTGCCCCAGAGATCTGTGAGCTCAGTGAGCCCAGATGTTCCACCCATCCCATAGTTGCTAACAGACAGCCTTGATTAGAGGAGGGCTTTGACTAGAGCAGGATCTGGATAAATATTGGCAATTCTTCCCCTACCATCTCTCATCTGAGTCACTTGTTCTTTGTAACTCTGAGAGCCATTATGTTCCTCTCTCCTTTTTCTCCCTTTCTCTTCCAGCTTTTCTCTTCTTCCCCTCCCTCCCTGTCTTCTTCCCTCCTACAGAGTAAAACTGAGTGTGTACTCTTGATGGTTCTAAGAGAAGGTGATGGTCTTTAACCTGGGAAAATAGAAAGGACTAGAAAATTCAAGGAGCAAAAATTTGCAAGATGGCCCTCAAGATGTTCTGTTTGAACAGCATCCTCTTTTAAAGGAAGTTGAATTAAAATGCTTTCAGGTAGAGTATTTTATTTGTGACTTTTTAAATCTTAACATTGCCTTTTTTCCCTATATAGTTCTCTCTCAAGTTACATACTAAATCAATAGAAATTATGCTTTAATTTTGCAAATTAAATATTTACTTCTTGGGATTACACCAAATGAAATGAGGTAACAATAATAATAATAATGTACCTGTGTGTGGCACCAGGGGTCAGGCTGCAGTACCAGAACACATGCTTGTGCATAACTGGGGCTGACTGCTCCCCACAAGCAGCTCTTTTAAGCACAAGAAACATGGTGGGGAAAATAATAATAGTAATAATAAACATTTACTAAAAACTCACTCTGTGCTGGGCATTGTGCTGGAGTTTCACAATAATTTTTTGAGTGTAGCTATACTCGTATTGTAGTATATGCTTATTTTCTTGTTGATAGCGAGGGAAGGGGGTATATTTGTACTGTTTTCATATTCCAACTCCCAGATGTTGATTTTTCCTTGTCAGGAGAAGAATCACTCACAGTTACTGACAACCATTCAGCATTTAGCTCCAAACCAGGGGGTTGTTCTGCTAATTTTATGATTCTTCAATAGGATTTTGAAGGATCCCAAGTAACCTTCAATTTTAGTAGTAACTTTATTTTATTATTTGGCTCATTCTAAGTTAAAGGCACCTGTAGATTTAATTTCTAGTACTTTTCCTTAAGTTGTCGATTTCTTTGGTTGGTTGTCTTTTTTTTTTTTCTGTTGCTGCTGTAATAAATTACCACAAATTTAGCAGTTTAAAATAACACAAACATTATCTCAAAGTTCTGTGGGTCAGAAGTCTAGACTGCTTCAAGACTCAGCTAGTTTCTCTGCTTCAGGTTTCACATGACAGATATCAAGGTGTCATTGGCTGCCTGGGTTCTTTTGGGGAGGTTATGGGGAAGAATCTGCTTCCAAGTTCTTTCAGTTCCTTGTAGTTGTAGGACTGAGGTTCCCATTTCCTTGCTGAATGTTAGCTGAGGGCTGCCCTGTGCCCCTAGAGGCCTCCCTTCAGTCCTTGCCCATGGGCTCCCAGAGCCTGTGCACCAAATTCTTCTCATGCTTGGAATTTCTATGACTTCTGATTCTAGCTAAAGAGAATTCTCTTCATGTGATTAATTTGGTACAGCTAGGAAATCAGGGTACTCACATTATCTTTAGATTTTTCACCTTAATTACATCTGCCAAGTCCTTTGCCATATTCATAGTGTGATATGAAGGAACAAGGGTCAAAGGGCCTATTAGGGGCTGAACTGTGGCCCACCCCCAACACCAATTTATGCACTGAAGTTTTAACTTCCAGTACCTTGTGACTGGGAGGGTCTTTAAAGAGGTAATTAAATTAAAATTAGGTCATTAGAGTGGGCTCTAACCCAATATGACTGGTCTCCTTATAAGCAGAGATTATTAGGACACAGGCACACACAGAAGGAAGACCATGTGAAGACCAGTAAAAGATGGTCATCTAAAACCAAGAAGAGAGGTCTCAGGAGAAATTAGCTCTGCCAAACCCTTAATCCAGAACTTTTAGCCTCCAGAATAGTGAGAAAATAAATTTCTGTTGTTTAAGCCACCCAGTATGTTGTATTTTGTTATCGCAGTTCTAGCAAACTAATACAGGGGCCCAAATTCTGCTGACCACAGTCATAAATTGCCCTAGATTTCTTCTTTGGATTTGGGTAAACTGCCTATCTACAACTGGGGTGTTTTCTTACAAAACTTTTGGCATCTTCTCTTGGCTTCCAATGGCTAAATCACCTTGTTCTCCTTCCAATCTCTGGCAGTTCCTTCTCAAAATCCCTTGCTAGCTTTCTGCTGCTTATTCTTTTTGAATTCTTTTTTTTTTAAATTTAGCCCTGGCTGGTGTGGCTCAGTGGATTGAGCATCAGCCTGCAAACCAAAGGGTTGCTGGTTTGATTCCCAGTCAGTACACATGCCTGGGTTGCCGGCCAGGTCCCCAGTAAGGGGTGGGTGAGAGGCAACCACACATTCATGTTTCTCTCCCTCTCTTTCTCCCTCCTTTTCCTTCTGTCTAAAAATAAGTAAATAAAATCTTTAACAATTTCAAAAAATTTATTGATGAGAAAGAGGTAGAGAAACATCAACTTGTTGTTTCACTTATTTATGAATTCATTGGTTAATTCTTGTATGTCCCTTGACCAGGGGTCGAACAAGCAACATTGGCATATGGGGATGATGCTCTAACAAACTGAGTCATCTGACCAGGGCTTGCTTATTCTTAAATGTTAGTCTCCCTCTATACACAAACGAAAGCACTCTTCTCATTTTATACTCTCTCCCTAGGTAACTTCCCTTATTCCTATGGTTCAGTTGTCATCTACGCTGATGACTCCCAAATCCAGACTGTCTTCTAGTTAGAGATTCAAATCTGCATATTCAACAATTCTGCCTTCATTTGGGAACTTTTTGAACTGTTCAAATGCAACATGTCTCAAACTGACCTTACAATTTCTCCCATCCCCACTCCAATCTGCTTTATTCCAGTGTTTCTTATTTCAGTAAATAATCAATATCATCTACCCATTTCCCCATGTATCTCCCTCTCTCTCATCCTGTACCCCGCAAAACACTCACTAGTTTCATCTACTCTTCCCCCATATATACCTTAAATCAGATATTGCTTTTACCATCTCTACTGCCACCACCATAATTCAATTACCATTATGTCTCATCTGAATTACTGCAACTAACACATCTTGTAAAGCTCCTGCCTTCACACAGGCATGAATGATGATACAGCTATGATGGGGGTTTGGGAGAAATAGTAGCAGAGATGTGTGTAGAGGATAAGAAGTCCTCATCCATCAGGATGAGAAAGTCAGTTGAAAATGTCTAAAAATGATTTCTCAAGAAATATTTTTTTAAAGTATAATTTAGAAATTAAAGGATAATAGGAAGGGAAATAGAATTGAAGGTGGTAGCCTGTGGGAAGTATGACTGGGATAGGGAGAAGGAGCCAAGAGCCACTGTTTTTATTATAAACTTTTAAGCATTATTACTACACATACATACAATTTAAAAAAATAGATTTTTGAAAATATATTATTTCTTGAGTTCCTAATAAATTGAGATATTCAGATAAATCCCACTGGCTGCCTTTATGCTGGTGTAGCTTTCTCTTTTTAAAAAAATATATTTTATTGATTATGCTATTACAGTTGTCCCAATTTCTTCCCCTTTGCCCCCCTCCACCTGGTACCCCCTTTCCCTCCAGCAATCCCCCTCTTAGCTAATTGTCCATAGGTCATGCATATAAGTACTTGGCTACTCCATTTCCTATACTGTTCTTAACATTCCCCTGTCTATTTAGTACCTACCAATTTGTACTTCTTAATCCCTGCACCTTTCTCCCAATTCTCCCCTTTCCCTCTTCCAACTGATAACCCTCCAAATGATCTCCATACCTATGATTCTGTTTCTGTTCTGTTTGTTCACTCAGTTTATTTTTTAGATTAAATTGCTGATAGTTGTGAATTTATTGCCATTTTAATGTTCATAGTTTTGATCTTCTTCTTTCTCTTCAATAAGCCCCTTTAACATTTCATATAATAAGGGCTTGGTGATGATGAACTCCCTTAGATTTACCTTGTCTGGGAAGCACTTTATCTGCCTTTCAATTCTAAATGATAGCTTTCCTGGATAAAATAATCTAGGTTGTAGGTCCCTGCTTTTCATCACTTTGAGTACTTCTTGCCAGTCCCTTCTAGCCTGCAAAGTTTCTTTTGAGAGATCAGCTGACAGTCTAATGGGAACTTCCCTATATGTAACTAACTTCTTTTCTCTTACTGCTATTAAGATTCTCTCTTTATCTTTAAACTTTGGCATTTTAATTATGATATGTCTTGTGGTGGGCCTCTTTTGGTTCATCTTGTTTGAGACTTTCTGTGCTATCTGAACTTGTATATCTATTTCCTTCATCAAATTAGGGAAGTTTTCTTTCATTATATTTTCAGATAAGTTTTCAAGTTCTTGCTCTTTCTCTGCTTCTTTCAGGACCTCTGTAATTCAAATGTTGGTACGTTTGAAGTCATCCCAGAGGCTCCTTAGCTTATCCTCATTTTTTAAATTCTTTTTTGTTCTTGCTGTTCTGACTGAATGTTTTTTGCCCCTTATGCTCCAAATCATTGATTTGATTCTTAGCTTCACCCATTGTACTGTTGGTTCCCTGTAACTTTTTCTTTACTTCACTTAGTGTAAACTTTGTTTCTACCTGGGTCTTTTTTATGCTGTTGAAGTACCGAATGAATTCTTTGAGCATCCTAATAAGCAGTGTTTTGAACTCTGCATCTGATAGATCGCTTATCTCCATTTTGTTTAGTTCTTTTTCTGGAGTTTTGTTCTGTTCTTTCATTTGGGCCATGTTTCTTTGTCTCCTCATCATGGCAGCCTCCCTGTGTTTTTTTTTTTGTGTGTATTAAGTAGAGTTGCTTTGACTCCCTGTCTTAGTAATGTAGCCTATTGTATAAAAGCACACTGGTAAGTTGGATGGGGTGGAGCCTTGGATAATTGCCAGGGTGGGGCAACTGGTTTCACCACTTTCTGGCTCTGTGTGGGGGAGGGCTCAGGGAAGGGACAATGCTGCTGCCTGGATTCTGGAGTTTTGTCCTGGAGGAAGCTGTCCCCCAGCACTCGCCCTGATGCCAGACACTTTACTTCCTCCCAATGTGCCCCTGGTACCCTTCTAGCTGTTGCCCTGCTGCTAAAGCCCAAAGGGAGTGACTCTGCGTAAGTCTTCAGTCCATTGTGGCGACCTTTAAGAGGAGATTCCTGAAAATCTTGGAGTTTCTTCTGCCACTCCTACCCCCACTGGTTTTTACAGCCAGAAGTTATGGTGACTTATCTTCCTGGTGCTGGAATCCTGGGCTGAGTGGTATGGGACTTGGATCCATCACTCCTGAGGTATCTCTCTTGATTTTTATCTACCACATGTGGATGTGGGACCACCTGTTCCATGTCTCCATATATCCATGCCTCTCCTCACATCTCCACATCTCTGCTCCTCCTATCCATCTAGATGAATGTGGCTTCTTTAATTCCTTGCTTGTAGTACTTCCATACAGCTTGATTTTCTGATTATTGTGGGTGATATTTGTTTTGTAGTCTAGTTATAACTTTTGTTGTGGTTGTTCAAGAAGGTGTGCTGTGTTTACCTATGCCTCCATCTTGACCAGAAGTTCTGGTGTAGGTTTCTTTAATGCAGTACCTCCTTAGCTTCAGAAATGGTTAAATCTGGCCTCATGGAAAGACAGGTG